TTCTTTCTTTCTTTCTTTCTTTCTTTCTTTCTTTCTTTCTTTCTTTCTTTCTTTCTTTCTTTCTTTCTTTCTTTCTTTCTTTCTTTCTTTCTAGGGAAACTGAATGTTTATTTAAAGCCCATTATCAACCAGGGATCTATAAACCCTCAGAGCCTTGATTGACTCTTTTTGAATCATTAAGCATTCTCTTATTAACAACCAAACCCTTGGTACCAGGCATGATTGATCCATGCTTTCATGTATGAACTATAGCACGAGTTTCCTGTTCTTAGCTGACACGAGTGGCGCCCATTATGGTCTACTTCCATCTGCTCCAAGGTTTGACATGTTAAGCATTCAGTGATGCTCTTTTACATACCTTAGTTACAATAACTGTTTATTTAAGTTACTGTTGCCTTGCTATCTGCTCAAAGCAGTCTGGTCACTCTCCAGAAAGATTCAGAAAGCTACTTTCACTCAACAACTTCTGCTCACTGGATATTTTGTCTTTTTTGGGCTATTCACCACCAACAACAACAATGCCAAGATTAACATTATTTAAATAACCTTCTGTAGGCACCAGTCTATGAATGATTAAGTTCATGTTTGGTTTATGATTCAAAGATTAGTTACATAATTAATCGTTTCAGGTTTAATACATTTGAACATTTAAGTTATGTTCACATAAGATAATGAAATGTCACTGTTTAGGATCTAAAAGAGGTGCCCATCACTTCAAGCATGTAAGTGCATGTGTGGTTTAGGAAGAGGAGGAGCTTGGACGTAGAGGTTAGGAGTCTTGTGGTTTTCTTACCGTGTACACATGTTGTTCTGGATAAATATCTTATTTTTTGGAATGTTCATGTTTATTTTAGTTTGTAATAAATAAAACAATCAAGTCATAATTCAACTAGAAGCATTTGTTTTGGAAACCGGGAACATTTTTGAACGTGGTCTATTGGAAGTGTCCCTACACCTTCCTTCCATAGTCTGATGCTCAATTTTGACCTTCATCAGGTTCTTCGTGTTGACCGAGTGCATTGAGTTGCTTTCATGTGATTGGCTGATTAGACACGTGCTTTAAGTTGAACCTAACAAAGTGACCAGTGAGTGTATATCCTAATCTCTCAAGTGTTACCATTTACATTTATGACAAACTTCACATATTATTTGCACGAATGTGTTATGAGTTACATCCAAATACTCAGATGAAGTGCTCGCTTGAAATGCTAAAAACCTGTCATCACTGCAATTTTTGTGTTTCTTTTTGCCTTGGCAAAGCATACACTTAGTTGTCAACAAAGTGGTTACACCTCCTGGCAGAATGTGCGGTGCCTTATTTCTTAATATATTTTCACATCTCTGTAAAAAAAAAGTAGCAAGTTGTCAAAGATAGTACCCAACGATACCTCAGGCTTTAAAAGAGCATGTTTACATGTTGAGATTCAAGTTATGGTAATACTCTGACAACACCAAAAATCAGGATCCGTGAGACGTAACTAATCTGTACAAAGTGCACGTCTTTTGTCAAACACGAATTGCTCCTCGAGCCAAACAGATTATGTGCATCAAAGATTTCTTAGCTACGGCTTTCAAATCAATGATGAAAATTATATGTTCACGAGGATCACTGCGGGCAGAAGTGCTTATTAATTGCTTTGCTTCAGCAGCTTTCCGTTTTCTTTGATTGCAGTTCATACCTAACTAAACAATGGTCCAGCTTTTAGTTGACTTTTTGCTGCAATTTGTCGCAGTAACGGTGGATGGTCCTGTTGTGTAATAGAAAACTTTGCAGTATGGAATCATTCACGGCAGGCGTCATATTCTATGTTTATGCCCCACAGCAGGGATCATAGTCTATGTTTATTTTATCCTCACATTTCACAGTCCATCATACTTCCTGTGGTCTCTTCAAGCGCGTTGTGTTGACACGCTGCAAAAGCGATCAGCAACTTCGTTTTCATTGGCATGCATATGTGCTCCAAGTAAACGCATTGCTTGTATACACAGTGAATTTTTGTAAGCATATTGTCCTGGCAGCCACACTGAATGAAGACGCCTGTGCAAACGAAAACATAATGACTTTGTGTCAAAACCTAAAGGCTCCGTTAACTTCAATTTAAATTAGAAATAGAAAAATGAGATCCCACAAAGCTAGGAAAATACTTTATTTCTGTCCCTGTCATCTCCCATACTGTTTTTATATGCTTTATCATTGTCTCTCTATATATCACGATAAATTATGCATGCAGAGCAACCAACAAAACTCAGTCATGCACATAATTAAAACAAAAAGAATCACATCAGCACTTTTTTAACTGTGGAACAATGCAAACATGTCTTAAGTAAACAATGTCATGCATAATTAGACGGGCGGAAAAAAAACAACAACAACATAGTGCGATCTTGCAGGAAGCTATCCACAAGGGTAGATCTGACGCTGAAACAGATGACAAATACTCTCACCTCCATTTCCTCTGATCTCAGAGAACTGAAGACAATATACACTATGTGTTATTTCCCCTCCCCCAACTCCTGCAGCTAATTTAAACAGTGCTTTGAAAATAAATTATGATCTGTTTAAAGTGACGGAGGTCAAGTCTCTGCCTAACAAGTGTTGAAGAAAAAGGCATGGATGTGTGGACATGAGCAGAAATAAAGTGTTATCAGACACTTGAGCTTAATATATATATATTTATAGTACAGAGACGTGAAAAAAAACAGCAAGCCATATTTGGAATATGTTACCCATGGCTGTCCTGTAAACAATTTAATTGGCAGGCAAATGAGCGGGAATGAATTTAAAATATGATTAGAGTGTGAAAAAGTTCAATAAAAACCATAAACATGTATTTTCTTTCTATATTTGCCACAGTGATAAAATTAATCTTCGGATCTTACTGCATGTGTGTCTTTACGCTAGTATTTAACGGGAAAACCATGGATTAACCTTTAATATGCTTTCAGTTTAAAGTAGGACCCAAGGCAAATAACAGAAAACGAGACATAACTACTAAACCATCGACCAAATTTTTTAAAAAAGCACGTAGTACCTCTAAAAGTCTCTTTTGGTCGACAAGAATAGATTACCACAGACCCGCCAATTTGTGAATTCCTGTTTCACAAGAACTGATTTGACTGATTGCAATGTTAGTAATTATTTCTTATCTTTGTCTTTGTATTATGAAAAGCTTACCATCTGTCATAACCAACCATAATCATATTTTTTTTCTGCAGTGACTATTCTAACCTTACTGATAACTCAAAGCTCAGCTCTGTCAGTGAATACAGAGGTGTCGATTTTTTGCTTGTTAGCATTAGCACCCTGTTAAATATAGAATTCCTGGTGTACCTTCATAACCAAGCAGGAAAGCAGTGCAATATACTAAACAGTCGAAACTACAAAAGAAACCTTAATATAACAACTGTGGCCATTCTGAAGCCTCTATCCATATTTACCATCATTTTGTGACCATTTGAAGCCTGAGGGTAAACTAACTTTTAAATGAAGGGACACTACATGCTCACATGTTCCACTGATGGTGACCAACATTAGAAAATACACATCATGTTTATTAGATAAGACTTTAAATTAAATGAGACCATAAACTCGTCCGGACATTATTTAATGAGATCATAGATCAAAGGAAGGGTCATTTTATGATAAACTTCTTAACAGAACTTCTGCAACATGTGGAGCGGTGCCGTGTTTTCAATTAGAAAGGATGCAGTTTTAAGGCACTTTCTCACTGTCATCATTTTTTGGGATCTGGGAATCTGGAAGCCATATGCTAGTTTTTTACATACAGTCTGTGATAACTGCGCTCTTCTGCCTGCCGGGTCATTAAAATATGCTGAAAGAGAAAAGGGGAGATTTGAATATGTGAACTTGTTTTTATGAGGGGACCGTTCAAAATGAGACACAATGAAGCTGGAGCACAAAGAAAAATAATGTGGGCAACATGTTTGTTGTGTTTTTGATAGAATGGATGAGTATATACAGCCATGGTAAAAAGAAAGTACACCCTCTTTTAATTCTAAGGTTTTATATATCGGGACAGTGTGTGACACTCAGTTGATTACTTGATTAATTGATAACCAGCAAGTGACACATCTATGAAATCTGCATTTGTGTCAGTTTTACAGGTCTGAACCATACAGGTGATCTTATTAAAGCAATTATTGCTGCCTGTGATTCTGGAAAGGGTTAAAGGTCCATTTCCAGATTATTTGAAGTCCATTGTTCTACTGTGAGAAAGACTATTCAGTGGAAAACATTCAAGATAGTGTTCCCAGTGTGGATACCCCATCAAATTCACCCCAGACTGTGCCACACTAAGAGAAACAGCTAAAACTCCAAGAGCTACACCTCAGACTCAATTAGAAAAAAACTAAAAGTATGGCTTAATTTGGAGAGGTTGCTAGAAGAAAGCCTCTTCTCTCGATAAATAGCATGGCAGTCTACTACACTGCATCTGAATAAACCACAAGATTTCTATAAAATGTCCTTTGGACAGATGAGACCAAACCACACTTGGTGAAAACTGAAACAGCATATCACAACAATCATCTCGTGAACAGTAAAGCATTTGTGATGGTGATGATTTTGGTTTGTTTTGCAGCCACAGGACCTGCACACCTTGCAGTAACTGAACACTGTGAACCGAAGTATGTTGAAACTGGGTCATGCAACAATAAAATTAACAGAAGAACAGAAGCAAATCTACAGGAAAATGGCTGAAAAAGGAAAGATGAGGTGTTGCACTGGGGCCAGGAAACCTCAGTGAAATGAAGCAACATTGTAAAGAAGAGTGGGACAAAAATCCTCAACAACAATGTGCGAAATTGAGAAAGTCACACGATTTCGACAACGACTACGTCAAGTTGTTGTTTTTTACACCTTGCTTCTGCATTTTTGTTAACTATATAACCAGATTATTTTTTATGATTTCCATTTATATAAAACCTTTAGCAGAACTTAAAGAGAACATACTTTCTTTATGTCATAACTGTAGTGTTTCAAAGTGTTTCAATTGTGGAGAGCTATCTTTTAGCAAGTGCTGGGAACATTGACCGCATGGATTCTCTGTATCAAGTGAGCAGCATTAGAAATCTTCAGCAAAAGCCTCCTCAAGAGTCACCATTACAACAACCAGCTGCTTCTTTAACATGCATGTATATTTTTGAGATAGCTGCATTTCTAGATTGTCAGGTTATTGTTGGAAAATGGGGAATTCAGTTTTATTATAAATTCTTGATTGATGAAATTATGATGTTGCCTATCAACTGCTAGCAAATTAAGGAAATTAGCAGAACGCTAGCATCCCTGCATTTTTTCTAGACGCAAGTGTAAACAAATATATTTGCCTCTTAGCTTCTGTAGATCATTTGGCTAAATGATCACTCTGCACCATTTGTCTGTTATGAGCCACCGCTGTGTTCCATTTGGAACAGTACGTGACGGGATTGACCATTATGTGTATTGTGTGCTTGGACTGATTAAAGTTTACAGTGGAAAAATATCCAGAGTGGTCACTGACTCATACCACCTCATGAGACAGCTACAGCTTCATTAACTCCTTCATTAACTGAGCATATTGAGAACTCTGGAAGTCCTCACACCAACAGGGAGCATCACAGTAGCATCCATGCTGGACATACAGTTTACATTTTCACCCCAATTTCAGTTTCTAGAATCAGTGCTTATATTTGTTTATGGATCTTATTGAATGTGTGACTCATATTCTGGTATTTAAGGGGATATCCTTGGATTAAGCTTCAATATCCTTTCAGTTTAAAATACTAGGAGAGGTTAGCAAATGACAGAAAACAGGAAGTAACTACTCAACTGTTTACCAAATTGCATAAAAAACACCTTGTATCTCTAAAAGTCTCTTCTGGTCAACGAGAATAGGTTACCACATAAAAAACCAAGTAGCCTGTGAATTCTTGTTTCACAATTACTGATCACTACTTTAGTAATTACTGTCTTACCTTTGCACAGAGCCAGACAAGCTGTTTTCTCTTTGTCTTTGTAATAAGAAAAGCTAACCAGCTGCCGACAGCAGGTGTATATTTAGCATGCAGACATGAAGCTGAATCACGTACCTCTCACAGAGAAAGTAAAAGTAGTAAGAATAACTCTGAACAGGTCAAACTATTCCTTTAATTTTTTTCAGTCTTTAACATCATTTTACATTTTTATTTATGTTGTAAGAAGCCTGCCACAGTCAGCATTTAATAACCAGTAAAAACTGTAAATTTTACTTTGACAAACACAAACCACAATGACGTGTTCGGCAAAAAACCCCGAACATGGCAGTGTGTTTTCTTGTTAAACGTCTCACTCTTGCAGTTATTAGTCATCATACGTTGCCTGTGTTTTGCAAGGCAAGCTTTCATATTAAACTCAACACGTATAGTTTCTCTCTGTGAACATAAAGCAGAAGAGACAAACCCAGATTTCCACATGGGGACGTATCTGTCTGAGCCGTAATGAAATGAGTGGGGCCGGTTTTCCCAGCAGCACTTGAGCAAGAAGATCAACTTAGTGCCAAAATAAGCTAATGCATAAAGATGATGATACTGCTGAGACGTTTTTGCTTAATTGGGCCTTGAGATGTCGTACACTTTCAAAACAAGAAGCCTTCAGGCACAATCCACTCGAAGCCCAAATCGTTTGATTATTTCAGTTTCTTTTTACTGGAATTTTTGAAAAGTATGTGAATTTAATTAAGCTAAAACAAAAAAATACTTTGAATACTGTTCTAACCCATTTCTAAAAACGTTGTATACACGTGAATAGAGAGGACTTGATCCAGTTAATCAGCATTATGTTTGTATCTCAACAGAATGGCAATAAAATACTGCTGGCAAATAATGTTTACCAGCAGTATCCATGTAAGCACTCATCAAACTTTTTAAAGAAATCCACGTGAAATGGATTTTGCAGTTATAAGGCACAATCACAAGTGTAGGGGAAGCTCTCAGCATGACGAAATATGCAAAGATGTATGCTTGTTTGTTTTAATTAAACACACTTTTGACAATCTGAAATTGTCCACATCCGTGCTAGGAAGTTAGCCAAAAGTGATTACAAACAAACTTAATGCCAGTTTGACCTCTTAAGCCCCAACGCCCCCAGATACGGGGGCAAAAGGCAGGAGATCGCATTTGGGGTTAGGCATTGGGGCTTAAGTGTGTTGTTGGTCCTCCTTCCAAATTTTCTGTGTGATGACTTCAAAACAGAATATTAAAAGTGCATATGGATCTGCTCTAAAGCAACTTACGCCACCTCTTTCAGTCATATTCATACATTTTAGAGGAATAAATGTTCAAAATTTCCATAAATACATGGCTAGTCATCATTGCTAACACCTCCATTGGTATGAGTATCTAGTTTCTAGTTTCCGGTGTTGTTTGTTTGTCTTTTGGTGGGGAGGGTCTCACTTTATCTTTTACAAATTGTCTTTTTTTTAATGCTTATTTGGCCCTGAATAGTGTAATAAAAAAAAACACAGAAAAAAGCCTGATGAAAGTGAAGTTCCACTCCTGTGACAATGCTGTAACATCTTCAACAAACGGGGGAAAAAATGTCGTAATGAAGAAAGTTTCTTTCTGTAGGCAGTGAGTTCAGCTTTTTAGATTGTCAGTGCCTTTTGATTTAGAAATTGAGAGTCAATCACAGTCTGCATTGCAGCCTGAATGTGAGTAATGCAGCTTTCTGAGCACTGGGCAGACCCTAAATTGGCTCTCTCTCCAAAATACACACGCAGTGAATTTCACATGGGAGCTCTAAGAACAAAGTGCTCTCAATAAAACTGTGCTTCTCTTACCCACACACACACACACACACACACACACACACACACACACACACACACACACACACACACACACACACACACACACACGCACACTTGCAGTTATATATGTGCTTCTGTCTTCATATTTCTTCCTTTATGTACCAAACACAAAAAAAAATGCTCATAAAAATGCTGTAAACATTGTCATAAAACCACCGCACGACATCTTATGAATGAAAAGTGACAACAATATATACACTCTTTACATATTTCAACCACATCTGTGCCCGCTACTAGGTGAAGTTCATCCTTTTTGTTTGGTTATCAGCTCAGCAGAGTCCAAGAGCATCCACGGTTTATGCTTTTCGGGATGCTCCATCAGCTCCTTTCCATAAACTCGTCAGCAGTCTCAGGTCAAAGAAGGGATATTTACTCCATGGCCAGAGCGACCCGGTCGGGCGTCATCGGCCCCGGCTTGACCGAGATCCACAAGTCTTCGGTATTGGCAGAATTTTTTTTCTTCTTTGTTTCTGACCTTGAAGACGACACGGCGTCGCCGCAGCAACAACAACAGCAGCTGTTGGCATGACGACAGCAACAGCAGTGACAGCACACCACCACCGTTGTGAGGAGAACAAGCAGGGGAAGCGTCAGGAGGACCACCAGGCAGACTGTGTTATAGGCCCCCTGGTTATGTTTTTCTGAAGCAAAGTGCCACAGTTGGTTGAAAAAATCCTGAATGCTGTCAGTTTTCCCATCCATGGCTTAGGATACCGGCGTGTAAGCCCTTTAAATGAGACTAGCTCACTGTTGGAAAAGTTTTGCTAAATCCTTTAGAGAGTTGAAATAGTTGTGAGACAGCAAATGTGCATGTTAGGATGCTGGGGTACTAAAATGATAAAAATATAATGTCCCTCTGAGCCCTTTGGGTGGTTGGATTAAGGTTAAAAAACTGCCCAAAATGAAATCGTTTCCCTGAGACTCTCATCCATCCAACGAGGGCTGTGCTCTGTGGGTTAAATGGAAACACCAGAAGCAAACATCACTGATGCTTTCTGCTTTAAAGTGCTCCTTTGGAGAAGGTCAAAGCCCATTTAAACAAATCCACAAAACCAAGAGGTCAAGAGGTTAGAGAAGGCTTTCAATATGAGGATTCTGATCTCGAGGAAAGCGGAAGTTTCTTTATCCAGGTCGACATTCCAGTAATTGTTTTCTCGAGTTTCCTCTTGTCCTCCTCCCCTTTAACTTTCAGTCTGACGAGCTGTAGAGAAGTGACTTAATGTGGATGTATCTGCAAAAAAAAAAGAAAAAAGAAGGTTAACATGAAAAGAAAATTTGGGTCCAGGCAGACAACCGGTCTCCCTCACTCTTTCCCTGCCTCCCAATCTATCTTTCTGCCTCTGTCTTTAACATCTCTACTCCTGCACCCCACCCCCCATCTTGTCAATGTCAGCTTCGGATTTTTTTCAGCTTTCCCTTCATTAATATTGCAGAGGGGCATTCATGATTCAGGGCAGCTCTCTCTCTCTAAGAGTCCCACTGAGGAAGACAGCGGCGAACAGAGAGAGAGAGTAAGGAGTGGAAGAAATGGAGGGAGATTGTGTCTGAGGGAAGGCGAGACCGAGACAGAGGTAACCAATCTTCCTAAGAATCCCGCTGAGATGGAGAACGTGACAGTGTCAGAAAAAAAAAAGAAGCGAAGTGGGAGAAAGGTAGGCCAGAGAAAGATCTGCTATAGGAGGCTCATGAATATACAGGTCTCATGGATCCCAAAGCAGGAGATGGATGGAATGTGGCCTAAGTATTCCTAAATGTCTGAATTTAACAATTTTATGCTGGCCTCAAATAAAACCACCGCCAAATAGGAATCCTTGATGTAAGGAACTTCAATTGTCAGTCCTACATGGAAATAAAAGTCATATTGTTCCTTACTCTGAGACTAAAAAGCTATTTGATTAAGCCTGAAGCCTTGAGGCAACATTTTTATTTAAATGCTGTTAAACATCTATAGTTTTTCAGACACCATTTGACTCAAGTACGCTCCACAGAGTCTCTGTAGCTTTCGGCTACAGGGCTTCTTTGTATTCTGTTCGCAGGAAGGAAAAAGATTTTCATCTCACATTCGGTTGCTTCGTATGCAGAGAAAGAGAGATGAAGATGCACCTGCAAGTGGAGAGCAAATAGGCACGGCTTCCACCGTGCGTTGTGCCTCATGTGTGAAATTAGTTTACCCACAGACAGCCCGCTAACTTCCCTCCTGTTCATTTGCTCAACAGGAAGCTAAGCACTTAAAGCTAAGTAGCACCTGAAATGTTTAAGTGAGAGATCAGAAAGAGCAATCCCATTTCAGAAAATAGAAACCACCGCATGAAAAACTGTGCTTCATTTCTTTTTGGGTTATTAGAGACTCTTCATGTTAGTTTGTGCAGTTTTGGTTTGTTCATAAAAAAAAATAGAAGCAAATGAGGTCACCGGCAAATTTAAGCAAAAACTAATCTAGATTTTGCTGAAGTGGGGAAATTTGGGTCTACTAATGAAGTAAAATGCATACAGTGCACAGACTGACAGTGAGTTTAAAGCCACTCAGTGCTCCTCTGATGAGAAGAAAAACAAGGGCAGTGTGCGTCGTTATCTCGTTCTGCTGCGATGGTTTAATAACTCCACCAAATATTCATCTCCATATAGCAGCAGCACATAAAAGCTGTGCACAGGATTGTGCCTTATTTCAAAAATGTGCACCACGTTTGGAACAAAGGCTGCCTGCAGGCGACATGGAAACCCGCGCATATTCCTGAGAGCGATGGCGTCGCTGCCACATCTTTCCTGATTATTGGCTGCAGGTACATGTTGTTGTGATGAGCTTGGCTGAGCTGCAGCACCTCTGTGCACACTCTGATCATCCCGCCATTATGAAAACTCTGCCACCGCGGCGAGCCAGAGCCGCTGAGCAATAAGTTTGTCGGAGAGGGACAGAGATCGGGAGTGAAGCACGGAGGTGTGATCTAGCCGGTAGAAAAGAAGTGACTCACAATGAATCAGTAGGAAAGTCATTAAATAGAATGGACAAGTCACTGAGTGTTATGATAATTATAGCCTCTGGCCAGGAACAAAGAGCCCACTTTGAGATGCGTTTATACACGGGTGAACTATAGTTGAAACACTAGCAGAAGAAATACAATGCTTTATGATCTACATGTCATTTCATCAACGTGCTAAGGGAATTAATCCAGAAAGAGAAGTAACAACAAACTGATTGCCACTGTTGTTTCGTTCTCAGCAGGCCGTTTCTGTGCAGTACTGTGAGATGACCGGTAGTTGTTCCTAACTTAATGGCTATTTTAAATAGATTGTAGCTTTATTTTTACTAAAAACAAACTAAAATGAGTCTCACTCATGACAACATTCTTTCAGAGACTCTCACCGGCTGTTTCACTTTCTCATGACTTTGTCTTCTTCTTGAGGCATTCGTACACAGGAAAAGGCCCTTTCTGGGCCACACAAAGCCAGGAAAGGGCTGAGAAAAATGTTATGATTGCACACAGTTAGCCCCTGCTGCTTTTTTAAGGAACATGCGTGACCTAAAAGACAAAGTTGCGACAGAAGGCATGGCAGGAATCTTTAATGACTTGCCCCGAGCACCGAGTCAGAGCAGTTCGCTCATCAGTCAGCATTAATTCACAGTGCTAGGGTGTGTTTGTTTTGACCTGAGTCAAGAACCAGTAAACAGCTAAACCTCTAGATTTTTTTTTTCTGCAGAAAACATGATCTGTGTTTGATCTCAAAGTGCAGCTGTTTTGCTGTCGTAGCAACAGGCCCGCTGATATGCTTGACAGTGAACAAAAGCAAGTGCACAAGCCCATTACATGTCAGATGTGTCAGCTCAGTCCTAACTGGAATGAAATGAGCAAAGTGGAGGTCACACTGCCAGTAAGAAAAGGGAGGGGGCAGCCAGATGAAGCTAGTAAACATCATCAGTAAGTTAGTCAGCCCTTTAAAACTAAAGTGAGGGACAAAGTGAAAGTTCTTAGAAACAGACGTTTGAGTGGGATGGTTTGTTTTAAGGAGACGAGAGTGTATTACAGACGCTTTTGGCTGAAATCTAATCTAACCCCAGCCAAAACCAAGCTTCTTTTTTTTTGGATGAAGAATGAAGATTGTCCCAAAAGCAGCAATTTTACCTGAGTTTAATCAAACAACAAGAAACATCAGCAAATACCAACTTAAGCCACAGCAGTATCAAAGTATTCAGTGGCAGTTAAGATCTCATTGAAAGCAGAACCTTACCCCGCAGGCACTTGTGAAGTAGCAGGTCAGGTCTCGCGTCTTGTCTAATCCAGTTAGCTGCTCTAACTTCTGTTGGTTCTGTTTTGGCATCTGGCTTCAGCTCTGGTCTGGTCCCCCTCACTCTGACATCGTCACTTTCTGTTCCTGTTTCCCTCTCTACCCTTGTTTCATCCTCCTCCTTTTCCTCCTCCTCCTCCTCCTCCTCTCTGTGTAAGTGTGTGTTTTGGTCACAGCGTCACTGCACCCTGCCCACTTTGTATAAGAATGGGCCCTCTGTCTGCGCTTACATGTTTCCTACACACTGTGCTCAAGAGTTGTGGTTGCTTTACTTTACCCTCACTAAATGACATCAGGCAGAAAGATGGAAAGTCAGATAAATGAAGTTAAAAAGTCTGATATGAAGTCACAGGAATGCCGTATTAAAAGCTGAATCCCTCCACAATAAGGCCTCCATGCATGCACTCATCTGAAAACCTTGCAACTACAGCGGAAGTTGCACGCAAGGTTGAAACATTTTGCATAATAGCACTAAATGACGGCTTGAACAAACACCGCTCCACCCATCTGTGGGCCCCGAAACAGGAATAAAAAGGGGGAACAAAAACTGCGCGAGCCTACGTCTGTGTGTGCTGTAAATACAGTGACAGAGGTATGAGCAAGACAAGAAAGATATGAAAGAAGGAGGTCATGTGAAGTGCACACACACACACACACACACACACAGAAACCCACTTTTTATGCCTGTGGCATTGTGGTCGATGCCCTTTCAGTTCAGTCAAGCAAAACACGATTTTTATTCAAGTAAGAATCAAGAAAAAAAAAGGGTTCAGCTGACATTAAAGAAAACTCTGTTCACTATTCTCATCAGAGGGTTGTTTTACTTTGACATGCAAACTGTAGGTCCTGTGCATTCATATATTATATGATGTGTGCTTATATACATGCAAAAATATATAAGCACACATTATATAAGGAGAATTAGTTCAAAGAGTGTCTAATGTGTGCAGAGCCTGGTCATGAACAGAAAAGAAAGGAACTTAACTTTTACCACCCTCTTAAGAAGCAGTAGTTGTGGAAGAAATCAAAAAGTTAAATATATAGATAGCTAGATGCAAAAGATGTCTGTGTCCTTTATCTGAAACATGATGAGACCAGATGAGTCGCCGCTCATTTATTCACTGCTCATGGTGTATGTAGATGGGACGATTTCATCTGATAATCTGCTTCTTTTTTTTTTTAAATAATGCCTCCTGACAGGTTTCAGACTGCCTGAAGAAGGAAGTGGGCTCTTTTGTAGCTATGAGGCATGGTTACGTGAAAACTTATGAGACAAGCCTCACCGTGTCTGCAGGTTTGTCTGAGCCATTTCAGACAAATAGCAACCAGGCATTCACACACACACACACACACACACACACACACACACACACACACACACACACACACACACACACACACACACACACACACATACCAGCACAGAGGGTGCCGTCTGATTGCCAGGGCATGCAGTGCTGCACAGTGAGACTCTATCCCGGCTGCTGTTGAGGCAATACAGTGTCCAGTCACCTCAAGCAAGCGTTGATTAATGACCTGAGTGCAGCAGCACTTCTCTTGATGGAAATCCTTCTTTACAGTAGTTTGTATGAAAATGATTTCTCTGTGTATTCCATTTGCTGCTTTTGATTGCTGCTTCAAACACCTGCGCGCAGGAGCCGCCTTTTCTTTTGCTTAGATCTACTCTTTTGCACAGGCACACTTTTAAACCTGCAGGGTTGTATTAACCTAGATTTTATGTGTGCTGTTGGATCTGCTTCTCAACCTTGAGACGACACAAGAAACAATCTGAAAGGTGTCGGATGTAACAATTTGCCTTTTCAAATAATGGAAAAAACAGCAGGTTTCAGTATCAGAACAAATAAGAGGCAGATATTGTAGAAATATGTTGTCAGGGATATTTTTTATTTTATTTTATAAAGATATATATATGATTTATATGCATTTCCCTGACAGACTGTGTTTTGTTCTTATAAACCTCATTCTCTATTATCTCTTTCCTTCACTCCTTCATTCTGTGGACACCTTATGTTTAGCCTATACTGCAGTGACCCTCATATACGTCCCATTTCCTCTATGGAAATCTTACTCTCCATTTATACTACCTCGACCCTGTGCTATAAAGGGTGCAGCTCCCATCTGGTTTATAGAAACTGCTCGCAGCGGAGCTCACCTCAGAGAAAAAGGTTCCAACAATATATCTCTTTATCCTACTCAGGTCTGTAGCTGAACAAATTGCGGGAAAGACCACTGAGCTCATGTCGGATCACTGGTCATACAATCATGATGGCAAAAAAAGTGACTTTGACATTACCAGCAGCATTAAGTAAAGCCTCACAGAATCAGTGGACTGTGCAAAAGGGCATTACGAATCACCATGACCTGCTGGTTCTGCCAGCATACACTGAAACATGAGTATGAACCCTATCCAGTGCACTGTGAGAGTTTCTGAATGGGAGTGCTAATGAAAACTGGCTAAAGGGTTGCTGTAGACGAATCTGACAAGTGTCCAGAAATAGCCTGCTAATAAATCCAGTGTCCCCGGAGGAAAACCTGAGCTATAATCCAGTCCTGTAAAATGTCTAAGGCCAACTCTGTGACAACGGGCAGAGAGCAAGACAGAGAAAGAAATGATTTTGTCTATATAAGGAATTGCCTCTTGCTCTCAGAGAAAGTCATCTTTCAATAGCAATCGGTTGGCATTATAAACTTTGGGCTTTTTTTTATGAGAGCACATAAATGCAAAAATCTAGCTATGATGTCAGTGTGCTATTTTAACATCTATTTATGTAATAATCTAAGCATAGTTCTCATGTGACACAAGCTCTACTTTGGGAATAAATATGTTAAACATGTCTTTCTTGGCTTGTGAAGAAGAAATGTCCTGCCTGTTCTCCTGCATAAATAAATACAGAGTAATGCTGTCAGCTTGCAGTGAAGGAAGTGTTTTTCCAGAGCACTTAATTATAATCAGCAGGGACTTTCTAAGTTCTTCTTTCTTGGCCCAGGATTTCCAAATACAGAAGAAACAGCGTGACACACTGTGGGAAAATAAAGTCACTCGTGTTAGACAACAGCTTACAAATACCTTAAGTGTAAATGACGAATACAAACCGCAGAAGAAGACAGTCGAAAGTCATTTGCAGATACATACCAGGCATTCTTTCCTATTTTTATGCAGAAATCTCTGGCACCCCTCATTTCTTTATGTTTTGCTTCCAAGGAGTCAGAATTTTTGTGTTTTTTTTAAACTGGTCTGAAGTAATAGTTCTCCAGGCTTTCTGAAGGTCTTTCAAAGTTTTTCTCTCAACATTGGTGGCTTTCAGTCTCATTTTTAGTCCAGCCATCATACCTGAATCATAGGAATGTTTTTTGAAAAAAAATATCAGTCACTATCAGTCATGGATTGGCCTCCCATAGACCAAACCCCAACATTACTGAAGCTATGTGCAATCATATAGGCAGAAAATGGAACAAAGATTACTGAAGACCACTAAAGGAGTATAAGAAACCTTAAGAAAGCTCAAAGAGAGTTCAGTATAAGGGTGGTCATACTGAATATTGACTTTGATGTTTCTTAAAACTGCACGTTTTTTCTGTTTTCTAAGCAAAATCCTAAGAACTAAGGCCGCTCAAGACATTACTGCACTGTTTGCAGTGCCCATTTAAGGCGACATAACATTTACTGTCTTTATCTCTTCCAGACAGACTTAACTTCTTTTTGACAAATAGAAAAGCTTGACGGACAGTCTTGAGACAAAAACAAGCTGTGTGGCAACAATATGTGGTCATAAGATAACAAAGAAACATAAATACACTTCCTTTCTTTTTTTTAAATGCATACGTGCGTTTGGTTTGTCGGGTTTGTCTGTTTGCTTCAAAGGAAAGAACCTGTGTAGTGTTTCACAACTGTTTAGTGTAAGTGAAAATGATAATAGAGTGCCTGAAGCACATGTTTAATTTCTAACATGTAGTCAAAGAAACATTTTGACACAGTAAACGAATCCAATCAGAAAATGTTGAACCTGCACTTTTATTTAAATTAGTATTAAAACTCAAAAGCACTTAACTGTTCAACCCCAGTTTATATCAGTGTGATGGTAATTGAATGTTTTTCTTGCATTAATCCCCCCCACTGGGTCAAATTTTCTCGTCTTGTTATCACCATTGATCAACTATTCAGACTTAAATCTAAATCACTCAGAGGCCATTATGTAAGTAAGGCAGATATGCTGGTATGGTAAATATGACTTAACATCTTCTGTTGTTGTTGATGGCTAATCAGCTTGTGATTGTGTTTACCCAGCGGGGAATAAAACAAGACGATTTAGCCTTGAGGCAGTCTATGGAAAGTTCTCAGTAAAGTCCTTAACTTGGGTGATGATCACTTTGATTGTGCTCGTGCTTCATTCTGAGTAACTGAAAGTTGGATGGTGATCATATTTTGTTTTAGGGAGATTTTATTTCCAAGCATTCCTGGCATCCCGTGTTTGTTCCTAAGTCTTTACTTTAAAAAAAAATAAGTAAAACTGACAGCCTTACTGAAATGCCCTTACAGCATAATTACCATTTGCTACACATAGTGAGAGGTGTAGCGATCTCACGCCCTCATAAATGCACAGACAAAAACACACGTTTTCCCACCATTTTCCGCAAGAATCACTAAAAAAAGAATCTCTATCCAAAGTCTACTCAGTGTAGAATTGCTTTCCCTCTAGGTGATGTGATGAAGTACAGAACATACTCTCTACTGCGCTTGTCCCTCGGGTCACTGTAGCCCTGAGAGACACTTTCACATGTCTCAGCTCTCATATCTGAATGGCTCCCGAGGACTTCTGTGTAGTTCAAATGATGAAGGGGGCATTAAGGATCCCCGCTGGCACACTACAAAATCAAAATCCATTTCCTACTTGGCCTTAAATCATGGAAAGAAAATGGCAAAGCATGTCTTTGCAGGAAAGAAAGGCAAGGGGGGGGGGGGGGGGGTGGGTAAACTGACATACTCTGAGTACAAAAAGTAAACAAATACGAACAGTAGCAAAATATGGGTTAATCAAGTGTGGCTCCCCATGTGGGTAATGCGTTATTTTTGTGTATGTGCACAC